GCAAATACAGCATACTTATGTCAGCTAAAGCCTGCAGTGCTTGAAAGGAGATATTCGTAAGAAAACAGAAACACGGTGCCCCAAAGCCTCCCTGTAAGCACTCAGCAGAGCTCATTTCCAACCACATCAAAAGATTTCAGTCTCCCAAGCAGGCTGTTGGATTCCTAACAGGCACCTTTTCTGGACTACTCTCCCACCTAATTTAAAAACTGACTGTAAAATACTAAATGCTTTAAACAAAGCTTAAGCAAAAGCAAACGTGAAATAATCTTGTTCCAACATCCAACATGTACCAAGGCTCATTTTCTCATCAAATTATTAGTGAGGTTAAAAAAGGCACAGAATGCAGCAGCACCAAGCGAGAACTCAAGGAATATTGTGGTCCTTTAAGGAACAGAGAAACAGCACAGAGCCCAGATAATCTTCCTACAGTTATTTGGCAAATATGCCTGAGCTGCCAGTTCTATTTGGAGCAATAACATCTACAGAAATTTCTATTCCTTTTTAAAGATGACAGCAAAATTTTATCACTGGAAAGCAAAACGTGCTGGTCAGATCACGTACAAACATGTTCTGGTTGTTGCAATAGGGTGAGTGCTGTTCTCCATAAGCCCTGATAACAGAAGGAACTCAGGCACTCCAGGGAAATCTGGGTAGCTGCTGTAAATCCCACTCTGATGTACTCGCTGTGGGGGGCTGTCAGCTGCAGGGAGCAATAAAGAGCACACACACACTGCACCAGGAAGGCTGGACACAACATGTCAGTTTATTAACCAAAAGTGAAGCCGAACCCCAGAGTGGTTTAACTTTTTAAAACCATATGTTTATATGGCAGATACTTTTTTTTTTTTTCCCACGTTAACACTGTACTGCAAGAATCAAATTTTGCAGCTGTTCACCCTTTGAGAATCAAATACTAAGTGTAAAATGAATAAGGGTCCCTCGAATCAATTAAAAACATATTTAACTCAAAAGAACAGACCAATTTTAAGAACTGTCTTATGAAATTCTCCCAAGTGAAAGACTTTCAAAGCACTTGGAGCCTTGAGGTAGCAACTTTATGCAGAATTTAATTCCCCTCCTGCCCCACAAAGCAGAGGAAAATTAGTAACGCATTATTAGCTCCAGCCAGCTAAGCGGAGTTGAGTGTTCTCTTATGAGGTTAGCAACTTTCTCTTCCACCTTGGAACAGCAGTGTAGTGCTGCAGACATCAGGAGAAAATCCACAAGGAAGGCCTCTTGAAATAAAATATCTGGTTTGAAGGAAGTGAAATGATCAGCAATAACCGTAACAACAAAAATTATCTGGAGTGAAAAGAAACGCGAAGTGTTTGTATTTTGGCAAGACTAGTTTACAAATACACATCGAGAACAAGAGTCCATCTTCAGCCAATGGAAAAGAAAGACTGGAAGTGACATTCAAAGGGATTTCTTTTTTGCCCTCTGTGCAAAATTGCACATTGTTTTGTTTTGCCTTTTTAGAAGAGAGCACTCTTGCCCCCCCTTTTTTAAACATTGTGAAACGTGTGCAGTTACATTAAATAGAAGTGGAAATGCCAGGATATTCGGCCACTGAAAGCTCCCCTCACTGCCTTCACAACAATCACAAGCAGGGAATCAAACTGTTTCCCTCCAAGTCTCAAAGACACTATCCTTTATACCCACTTTGCTGCTGAGTTCTTTGATTAAAAACTAGACCTCTCTCCACTGTAAATTTCAGGGTGTCCACAGCAGATTTACTGTTCAACTGAGCTGTAACAACAGCAACAAAAACAGCAGTGTGCATTCTCCTCGTCTGTGAGGAACAGTCCTAGTGAAAAGGAATAAGCTGAGATGCAATAATGCAGGCAGAGCTCTGCAACCAGGCACTTCACTCCCCAGTCACACTGTCATTGCCAGCGTGTTTTCTGACCTTGCTCACTGCTGTGCCGTGTGGCTAACCAGGCAGCGTCCAGCATCTCACTGCAAGCTTTGGATGCTACCTTCATGCTTCAAGATGGCACAGAACATGATGGTTAAAGCAGACTAATCATGCACACTGCAAACTACAACGCTGTGCACCTTCTTAAGGTGGGCGAGAAGGACGAGCCTCCTGATAGACTCACTCTCCTTCAGCTCAAGGATTGAGTCAGGTTGCCTCTTTACACTACAGAAAGAGGTCATCCTGGATGCAGGATGGTATTTGCCCTATTTGCTTTTGCTTCAGGGAGTCTAGAGAAAAACAGAACTTCAAATTCTTGTTCTTGGATCCCAATCTTCTGATTTTCTGTTCTCATCTTCTCCTTTGACTTCCAGAAGCCATGAAATCCTCCCTTCCAGGTAGAACTTACAAATCTAACATCAATCTGTGCATTCTGTTATGTTTCAAAACAATTGCCAATGTTTGCATGTGCTGAGGAACAAAATCTTGTCCTGCAGAGAGAACCAAGGGCTGCAAGAAACAGAATCCATCTGAGAGACAGCTCAACCTTCCAGGTCCCTCTGAATAGGGGATATTCTGCCTGGGAGCAACAAAGGCCCAACTGACAATTATTCACAGCAAGTCTCTCTTTAGCTCACAGGACAGCTTAGGCAGCACTTAACTCATACTGGTTTGCAGACCAGTTTATGTCTGGGTTGCAGGACAGTCTAAGTTGGCTTCTGTCTTGGAACCCAAACCATCCTGAACTTTAAAATATCAAAGACTGTTTTCACTCTTTTGTTTGTTCTTTAAAAAAATTAATAATAATCCATAATTAAAAGAAGGATATTGTCTTTGGTGTTAAGCCTCAGAAGCATGACAGCATGAATGAAGTACCTGCTGCTTCTTTGGCTGTAATTTATCACACAAAAAAAGAGAGAAAAACTAGCCCAGGAAAGCAAAGGAAATTCACTGCTCTAAAATACATGCAGTTAAAACAGCTGCTACACATTACAACCAGGACTTTAATACTACGGAAACACCCCGTTCAGTGGTGCCCATTACATATCACTTGCATTTTAGAAAAATATTACTCCAATGACAGTAACTGGACAAGAGTCAAACTTATCAAGTTGCCATCTTACTTATATTGCAGGAACTGGGAGGACTTCATCTATTTAGGAGAAAGAAAGTCACCCAGTAATCAACTTAAAGTTGCAGAGTTTTCTGTGCCTTAAAGAAAATATCCACCATTGTAACAACTAGAAGCAGAAATTCAATATTAGCATCCTTCTCCTCTTGCTCAAACGGCTGTGAATCAAGCCAGCACATTGTTACACCAGCATCCACAATTAAAATATCATAATCCACATAAAACACCATTAAGTTTTTATCACGAGCTGCAAAACATAAATTCAAAGGGTCACAGATGAACTACCTACAAATTTCATATCTTTATCCTGGGTTCCATCAGAAAAGGGGTGGCCAGCAGGTAACTGGGAGGGAGGTAACTGTCCCTCTCTACTCTGCTCTTGTGAGGCCCCATCCGGAGCACTGCATCCAGATCGGGGGCTCCCAATGCAAGAAGGACAGAGAGCTGTTGGAGAGGGTCCAGAGAAGGCCACAAAGATGATCAGGGGGCTGGAGGTCCTGCCCTACAAAGACAGGTGAGGGAGCTGGGCTTGTTCAGCCTGGAGAAAAGAAGGCTGCAGGGTGAGCTCAGTGCAGCCTTTCAGTACCTACAGGGAGCCTACAAACAGGAGGGGAATCAACTCTTTGAAAGGGTTGATAACTGCAGGACAAGGGGAAATGGTTTTAAGTTGAAGGAGGGAAGATTTAGGTTGGGTATCAGGGGGAAGTTCTTTACAGAGAGAGTGGTGAGGTGCTGGAACAGCTGCCCAGAGAGGCTGTGGATGCCCCGTCCATCCCTGGAGGTGTTCAAGGCCAGGTTGGATGGGGCCCTGGGCAGCCTGGTCTAAAATGGGGAGGTTGGTGGCCCTGCATGTGGCAGGGGGTTGGAGATTCACGATCCTTGAGGTCCCTTCCAACCCTGGCCATTCTGTGATTCTATATAAATATTCTTTTCACACCATAAAAATGTCCTTCTTATCATCTGATTCGTATTTATATGGTGCTCTGATAAAATCTCAGCAGAATTAAGTTCATTAAAGCTGTGGAAACACTCTACCTACTAAATGCTGCAAATTTAACAGGTATTTTAGATAAACATAATTAGCTTAGTTATCACTTAACCCAAAAGATTCCTCAAATACACCAATTGTCTAGTTAGCAAAGACAAATGCTGACAACTTTTGAAAGGCTTATGAAATCAGTGGCATTTGAAAGCATTCAAGTGTCTAATTAAGTTAAAATACTGTGACATTGGAAGGAGGGAGCTCCTGTAGATAAATACAGAAGTAGTCTTCCTTTAAATTACAAAATGTTCATTCTTAAAAAGCTTTAAAATTGAGTCAGACAACAGCACCCTGGCAAACTTGTAGTATAAAGGATCTCTGTAAATGAAAGAAGGTCATCTATTGTGATTTTGACACCATATACATATGTATATATAGTGTCAGAAACATGGAGCAAATCTGGGGAGAAGACAACTATGACACCTTCAAGCCATACGGTCTGAATCACTGCACTTTTTTGGGAAGCATGAAGTAATTTTCTTTGCTGCTCAGAAAACACTTAAATTTAGCAATGCTTCATTTTCTGCATTTTGTTGCTAATCAGATTCTCACCTGTGTCCCCAGCTCAGTTTACTTGGTTTAATGAAGTACCTGCAGTTTTCAACAGGTGGAAGAAAGTTTCAGTGCCACCGTACTAACTGGCTCCATTGATATTTTAATGTCAAATCCAGCTGCTACAATTAAAAGCAAATTTGGGTAATTGAAGTGTTAGAAAGATAATAAACCTATCAAAGGCTTGTATTCCACAGGTTGCCTCTGAGGAACAGGCAACCTCCTGCCACAAAATTTGATCTGAAAATTTATCCCAACAGGAACACCAGAAGGAAGGAGGCTTCTGTATCTTGCACACTTTGGGTGTTGCATCAGGCACTTGAACTGCTGGACAGATGCCATTCTGAACCAAGTAAGAGAACTCAAAGTTAGAACCATTTTTAATCTAGGTCTAATAATGAAGTATCAGCAGCAAAGTGGAGGCAGGGAGTGAGCAATCCATCTGTGCCGAGACTTGCTTATGGTTTCTAAAATGCCCAAGAAGACAGCAGCATTAACTGTTCCGTAGTGTCCATTTTCCTTGTGAGTTGTGTTGCTGATAGGAGGCTTTTTTGTGTCTTGAACTAAGAAGGCACTGAGGTACCCTGTGCCTAATTCCCTGGATCCAACAGGTCCATGCTTGAGCCAAACATTGCCACCAGCTGCTCCTCATAATGCGTTATATTCCTCTTCATAATGTCCATGCAGGGTCCAAGCAACCTCTCAAATGCTTGCACATCCATGACTGCAGAGAAGTAAAAATATGATTGTCAAGTAGAGTCCTTTTGGATAAAACAATCTACTTTTTGAAGCTGAAGCACAGAACTTCAATATAACCCATTTGGTTTTGAGGCTTCAATGGATGCTGATCTCCTTCTGTACTATCGCTTGGAGGAACAAGCTTAACACACACCTCATCTCAGAAGTCAAACACACACCGTGCAGGCATTAACAGATCACCTGGAAGCTGTGACAAGCAAGCTAGATAAGAGGCTAATGCTTAAGTCTGGAGTCTTGGTGCAAATTCTCCTTTTCAAAGAGCACAGAACACACACACAGGAAAACCAACCTGCTATGCAGTTATCCCCACCCATCTGAAACTAGATGTCTGAGCAGAAAAGCAGTGGTGCTTCTCAAATTTCAGCACAGTCATCCACTTCAAGCTATGCACTTAGCTTCTAGAATCTGACCACCTGGTGCCAAAAGGCTGCCAGACTTTGAATAGTTTCTCAGTTAGGGGTAGTTCACAAAACAATAAAAGACCAGAAACAGGTAACTAGATACACACAGAGAACATTTGCTTACCTAAACATTTGACCTCTCCAACAGCATAGGCAGAGGCTGCCCTGGGCTTGTTGGTAACAAGTGCAAGCTCTCCAAAATACTGCCCTCTGTGACACCGGGCAATCTCTACTTCTTGGTTAGCTTCCTTACTCATCATAGTCTGCAAAACAGTACATTTTAATTACTCTCATACAGTTACGTCTTTGTACAAGGTTCAAGTTAATCCCAGATAGACTGCACATGTGCAGCTGCCCATTGGTTTACAGCTTGCAAACTAGCAGCTCTTAAATCACGCCCTGTAATGTTATAACGCCTTGACAGCACGTTCAACTGCATGTTTGGTTAAGTGTATGCTGGCCAATAAGTTTTGATGTATTCACTGTTGCAAAGTTGGGAACTGCTACACAGCCTAACACAGCTACAAAGTTTTGTCATAGATAAGACTTCATCCCAAAGGACTGCTTCAGACTGTATAGGAATCTATTCAGATGCTAATGGATACTGGAGTTAACACATCCCAGCTTTTTCTTCCTTGCAGTTTGCTACAATCCTACAAGAAAGTTTCATTTTGACCCTTAAGGCCAGAGAGAGTACAAGAGGTCAGTGTGCAGAGTAGACAGAAGAAACAAACCTTCCAACATTGGCAAACTGACTCCTGCCCACTTCAGAACAGGTATGGGGATGTAAAACACATTGCAGTTGTGACGATGACCAAGTACTTAAAATGATGTCTCAAAGTCAGTCAAGTTAGGCTTCTGCACACCGCAGTTAGCCAATGATTTAAGCCAATCAAATCAGGGATTAATTTAAAATCTAATCACCCAGTTCAAACTCACCTTGCTTTTAATCATGATTTTTACTTCACCAGATTCTACAATATAAAAGCAATCTGCTTTATCGCCCTGTGAAGAAAAGGTAAAAAATACGTATATATTTTTAGTTTATTATGGAAGTATTTATGAATGGTATTATTCATTCTGAACTGGGCTTTGTGCAAGCCATCAACGTGAGGAATTACATAACAGTTGTGAAAATAAAGTGAAAAAAGAATAAAGCATTCAATGGCATTACACTATTTAAGGAAAATAAATCACATCAGGAAAGTGGGAGAAAGTAGAAATTGTAGCCATTTAGAATCAAGTTCCAAAACGATACAGGAACGTGTACTAAGAACTTCTGTTTTAGTTCCACTCATCTGTTTCCAAGAAGCCCCATGGAGTTACAGAAGAATTAGGCTCTTATCTGTGGTTCTTTCTGAACAGTGCTGAGTACTGAAGTACGAAGTTGCTCGCTTCCTGTTGCCAGCTATCACAAACTGCTGCACTCAGCGCGCTTCTTCACAACGCACTGTGCTCAGTACTTCTAAACTGGAATCAAACTGAGTAGACTTCATGGGGACTTCACGTAACACCAGCAGAATGGTTTAAAGCACCAGTAGTATGATTTAAAGCTACTGCTTTCAGTCACACTGCCCTAACTGACAGATCAAATTCCAGAAAGATAATTAAAATGTAACATTATCCATGAGAGAAAAAGGATTCATGCTCCTGGTGCAGTCGCTGTAGTACAAGAGCTATCACCATCATTTCCAAGCACGAAATTTCATCATCTCCAGCAATGTGCAATAATCACCCAGATCAATCCAGAATATCAATCCTACTTGTAATTTTCCTTACATGTAATTACATCCTTATCCTTAATTCGGCTGTTACAGATTGAAACCAACCCTGTAACCGGATCACTGACTGCACAGCTTCTGAGAAAGCTTTGATTCTGCTGACAGCCCAGGTTTCTCAGGCTCTTAAGCAACAAGATTTTCAGCTTACACAACTGAGTCTTTCTGGAAAGAAGTGATTTGGCTGTATTTTGTTATCAGCAAATCTTGTTTTCTTGTATTGTATTAGCTGATTTCAAGTTATTAAGATTAACTATTCAAGACACTATGAAGGATTCAGATTCTGTTTACAAAACAGGGAGACCTGTGACCACACAGCCTACCATTCCAGGTAAGCCAAGCACTTCCTTGCATTAACCCCTGCTTAAAATAGAGCACTTTCTCAAAATAAATATACAAAGCTACCCCCCAGCTGAGATTGATGCAGAATTCTTGTGTTTCATCTGTAAAAATACTCCGAGAAGTTAGTTCTGTCACAGGAAAAAAAGAAAAAAACTTCAGATTGAATTTGTCCAGCCTTATGTTTCAATCTGGCCTTGATCTACCACAGCAGACATTACAGTTGACTGAAGTCTGACTATTGCTAACACTAAAATACTCTTTTTAAAGGCATCTGGAAAAATAGCTTTTTAATTAAGTGACAGTTCTTTGACAGTACAGTTAACTGACTTGATATCAACTAACAAAATATCCCTATTGAGCTTGTTTAGCTCTGTGCAAATCACAGTCCTGTTGAATTGCTTGATTTTCTTGTTTATTCAGACCCAGAAATTGGAGATGCTCTGGATGTGGTTTGGGATTCCCTATTTAATCTGGTTACAGGTGCCTACAAGAACTGCACCTCAGGACTTTCATGAAAAATTGCAACGAGAGACTCATAATTTCAGCTTCTTAAGGCTCCTTCCTCTTGAAGCCTTGCAAAGACCATTTATAAAAAAACAAATGGTCAAGAGAAGGGATTACCCAGAAGCTAAAGCAGTAGAATAAATATGTAACAAAATATGTGCTGGTCCTTCCCCATGTAGTCAAAAACTGCTTAAACAAATTGAAAGTATTAAAAGAACAAGTGATGCCAACTTGATCCAATTAACATGATTCTGTGAGTAAATTCCACACAGGAACAAAAACAAAGAGGGGAGAAGGACAGGTGGGAATTTATGCTCCAAGTACCTGAGAAATGATACGTTCCCCATCCTGATACACTTTCTCTCCTATAACGTCCACAATTTTCATTCGTTCTGATGCCTGCAATGAAGAGGAAAATCAAGCACAATTACCTGCTATAATTAATTTCATAACTCAGAAATTAAGCGCTCGCTCAACAGAAACCTGCTGAATCTGGCTACTGAAAAATGCAGCCCCACACGACTTCATAAACTGCAGCACAACTTTCAAGACTACCAATGATCAATGAAAAACATTTTCATTTTCTAGTGCCCACACCTGAAGTTAAAAATGGCTGATTTGGCTGCTTTAAGCACAGAAAAAAATCACGTCCTGTGAGATTCAGCTGAAATCTGAAGAAAGCCCTTCAAAAAATCCCAAGTACTTCCCAAGAAGCCTCAATGAAAAATACTAATTCATTTTCAAAATATTTTCATTGCTACGCACTTGAATGTCTTTGGTTGGTTGGAGTTTTTTGTGTGTTTATTTTGGTTGGTTATTTTTCATCTTAAAGCTCACTGCTAGATTAGCAAGAGGGGATATGAGAAAGACACTGGATCTAAAAATTGTAAGCAAGCACTGCAACAGGATGCCCTGCAGCAAGGTCAAGAGGCACCAAAGTGACACGCAGTGAAATGTGCTTTGGCCTTCACACACAGGAAGGGAGGAAGGACAGTTAAACTTATCTCCAGTGTTTCCTGCTGCCCATCCAGCACATCACAAAACAAGTTTAATGGTTCAAAGCAACGTAAAAATACGTTAAGAAAGGAAGAAAATCCTAAACAGTTAAAATGAATACCTCAACACATGATTCATTTTTAATCTATTCATTTCACAAATGCACCTCCATCTAGCCCATGTTTGAGAAACTGTTAATTACAATCCACGCATGATTCAGCTGCAGTGTGTCATGCAAAAAGGCAGCCAGTGCTAATGAGATTTTTCTCTTTTTTGAATCCTTAAACTTTCATGAGTCATCTAGGGCTCAGAAAAAAATCTCACTGATGAAACTAGTTTAAGCCAGTCACTGAGGGACATGTTGTGTAATTCACCCCTTCCACAGCTATCAGCATAGGTCCAAACTAATATATTCTGGAAGCCACTATTTACACTTATGATGCTTTGCAATCTTGTAATCTTCTCTCAAGAAGATTGAGAACTATTCCCAAGTGCTAAAGATTAAAGCTGAAAAATAGAACAAGGAATCAAAGAAAAATATAAGTTATGGCATAAGGCAAAGGCAGACACATAACAATGTTCCATGCAGTCTGGCATGCCTCCAAAGCCTTTCTGAAAATACAGGCTGAATCAATAGCTTAGAAGTGACAATTTACACATCATTCCTAAAATCATGCACCACACAACCAATACAACATGTGCTTGCTCTGCCCGCTTATTTTTTTTCCTGGGCAGCAGTGCTTCCTTTAGCTTATTCTTAGCTTACAAGAGGTAAGATAAAGCAAGATCTGCTGAGGGAAACACCTTTGAAATTTAAAATCATTCACAGTTGATGAAAATCAAATATTCCAGAGACCGTATCATTACTTCAGAAACACCCTCAAACAGAACCAAAACCCTGAACTTTTATCCCTTTAATACCTCTTCTCTACCTGCTGTATGTTTTAAAGCCTTTGCAAAGACTGAGATAAGAATTGCCTACTGTGAACGGTGGATATGAAAAACATGTTGGACAACTTCAACAGTACAAATGCAGCTGGACACCAAATAGGATACTCAAGCAGCTCTTAAAAACATGCAAGCAGAAAATGACACAGATTTCTGATAACAGTATAAACCAGGTGGGGAGCTAACAGAAAACTTTGGTGCAAATGTCTCTGAGAGACTTTACCTCCAAGGACTTGAGAAGGGGTACAGACTCAATAAATAACTCGTACGTCTTCCTCTTCTTTGCATTGTTTTTCAATATAATTCTTCTGAATGTCACTCGATCCTGCAAGAAACAGCACAAATTGATTATTCCGCCTAGCTAAAGTGCTTACTGATTAAAGAACCTTTATCTAACATCTGAAAAAATGAATATCTAATATTTGCAAGAGAATTTAGATACAAGAAGTCAGTTATTAAAAGGTATGACATCACAACAGTGATCTTAACTGGCCTCATGACAGTATTTCCTGTAAATACCAAACTGAAAAACAGGGAGCTCTAAGACAAACTTGGTCCTTCTCAGATAGCCATTTAAGAATTCCAGTTTTACTCTCATACTGTTTTCCAGAGCTGAGTCTGTGAGGTTGGTTGGTTTTTTTTTTGGTTGGTTTTTATTCCATCTTTTACATTTTCACATACAACGAAGAAGTTATGCTCTTCTTGCAACTCCTAATAAGGCAACTGCAGAATCAAGTCTGAACTGGGTTTTTCTCAAATCACAGATTCAGATTCAAGTAGATCAGCAAGCAGAACATCAAACAGCACCAGCCTTGATTCTCCCCCCACTTTTAAGGATAAGAGGCAGCTTTTTGCAGAGAATGGCTATTTCTGCACTTCCACGTGTCCACAGGTACCATAGCAACTTCCTGATGCAAAAGCGTTTGGAGTTTGTTTGTTTTTGAAGCCCAAATTTTGGTCAAGCTCACTCCACCACCCACCCGACTTCCCTCCAGGCACCAAGCCGTGCCGTGCAGGCTGTGCGGCCAGCAGGCGGCAGCACGCACCCGAGGGAAGGCCAGGCTGCCTGCAACATCTGGCCGAGCACCTGCAGCAGCAGACATGTTTGCGAGTTTATTGTTAGAGATCTTAACGGAACGCTTGTTATTTGCACACAGAAAGCTGCTGTAGAACGTTGATAAGAAGGGCCACGAGAGAGTTGGGCATAAACACTGCATGCAGGCGAAGGGGAAGGGGTCACCCCCCACCAGTCATTAACATTTGTGTAACAGTAATGTTCGTGGCCCTTACACAAGGTGAGCCTAAGCGAAAACAATCAAGACAAACAATCAGAAGAAAGGAACATTGTCAGGGGAAAAAAAGTATAAGACAGTGAGCAGCAATAACTGAAATCCCTGAGAGCCACTGCTCTGGATCTCATTGTCTGAAAACATCAACTGCTACTTGAGGCAGAGAGGTTGTGAGGTGAAGAGGTGTGTTCAGGTAAGAGAAGGGTTTTAGGGAATGCAGGCTACACTTACTTGGAAAGAAAACAACGACCGACACTGGTGATACAGTGGAATAAATAAGTTGAAGTGACAGATGAAAGGAAGAATAGCATTACTGTTAAGCAAAAGGACCAGAAGAGGATAAAGCCAGAAGGAATGGGTGGGTTTTGTTTTGTTTCCACTCTGAAGAAATTTTTCAGTGCTAGAAGTCTCTTCAAAAGCACACACGTGGAAGAGGAGAGAGGTGCAGAAGCGACCATGGGGATTGGAAAAGCATAAGAAAAAAAATTGGAATTCCTTTGTTTGGAGGCACAGAGCAGTGATGGAAAAGTACACGATTGTGAGGTTTTCCCCCGATACAGGCAGTAGCAAATGGTGAGGGGACACTTTTGTGCTCCATATGAGACCCACGTTTGATTGCTTTGTGCCTGCGCCTTCCAGGCTCCTCTTGGCCTAAGCCTGCACTGCAGGAGGAGTAACCCGCACTTGCTGACTGGCAGATTACCCGTAAGTTTAACAGTGACTTTTACAGACTAATAAAAATGTTTAAATTACATTGTGCACAAAATATTACAATTAAATACGTCAACAACAGAGCAAGCAGAAGATGTAACCAGTTTTAGGCGTGAAAATGCAACATTAGTTCACAAAATATCCATGGGGCTAGATCACTACCAAGGTCCCCTTTCAACTACATCTCATTAATTACGTGAACATAATCAGAGAAATAAAAGAACTCCATTTGTGCAGAACAAAGAATATCTCCTCCTTTTCTTCTTTTTGTAAGTGGACTTGGTACACAGCTGTTACGTTCAAGAAATTAGATCCTCACAGATTTCTGGTTAGCGACCAACATCTTTTCCTTCACCTCACGAAGAAGTCAAAACTCAGTTCTTTCAGCAAGCACAGATTGCTGTGTGTAGCAGCTCATCAGTTGTGTAATCAAGGTCCCAACACACACCAACCCCAGTGATAGTTGCCGAGGAGCCCAGAGATACACAGAGAACACAACACTTCTGGTTTCAAAGGCTTCTCCAATCACACAATCTGCTCATTACGTGAGCCTCACAGATGAGTAAGAGAGCACTATGAAAAATAACCTTATCCAAATGGCACAGTGAAAAGAACTAAAATAGGAAACTAATGTTACAGCTTCACATTCAACACCGCTGGACTGGAGACAAAGCAGCACCACCACTTAGCTTGGTATTTCATTTGACCTGAGAACCTCTTCCAGGGTAACACAGAGACCAGGAACATCATAACCATTTATTCTGAGTGAAAACAAAGCTTTGGGCAGTTTTCCTACTCTTCATGTTACTGGCATGCTCAAGAAGATATTTAACACTGTTCATATCCATATAAAAGCAGACAGAAGGGTAGGAGGTTGAGCTGAAAATAATGTTATTTGGATATTGTTTGTATATTACCTCCTTCCCACCTCTACAAAATATATGCATTAATACCTCCACCATTCTCTGGTTGTTTTTTTCCTTAACAAAAGCCCTGATTACAAAAATGCAAAACAAGAGACAGATAAAACTAGCAATACAGTATTTACAGACAAGTTATTCTAGAGAAGAGGCCAACAGTGCACAATGGATCCTTCTATGCTATAAGGTAAGATAAGAAACCATGATAAAAAATGCTATTAGTGCAAAGAGTCACATGGAGAGAAGCACCTGGACACGGTGAGTTAGTATTTCAAACAGTAGGCAAATGAGAGCAACTTCCTTTCCTTACCAGTCCCCAAAGGGCTCCTTCTGTTGTGGCAACAATGGTGGCAGCTCTAGGAGTATTGTACATCAACGCCAGTTCCCCAAAACTGCCATGGTTATCATAGCGGCCCACACAGCGCGCCTGGTTGTCTTTTGCTACAACAATATCATACAGTCCCCTGGAAAACAATGGAATAGGTGCTTTTCATTACACAACATTCCAGTACAGGTGACGAAACAATTTTTGCTGTTACAGAAATAGTCTATTCGCACTAGCTTTAAATGAAAGCTGCTGGGCTGGAAAGGTCTCCTCACCCTGTTCTCTAAGAGGCAACGCTTCCAACTTATAATAAAGTTAAAGGAATAAGTAGCCCAAAATTTACTCAGAATCAAGACTAATCTAATGAAGATGGAGGTGCAAGCTCAAGGCATGAATGTGGCTCTAACTGTACCACAACTGTATACAAAGACACAGGCTGTGTAGAGGTAGCCCTTAAGATGCCACACAGGTGCCTTTAACACCCTCAGGTCAGTCTTGCCTCCAGGGCTTAAAAAAAAACTTTAAAAATAGCTCAACCAGGCTCAGTTGACTCTGGCCTATGGCACCTAAGATCACTCAAGTATTAGACAACAAACTATAAGCTTTACAAAATATATTATATCCTGGTAAGAGGCTGGTAAAGAACACTTCAAGCAGCTGAGTGCACATGTAACTTTCCCCAGAAAGTGACACCTCTGTTGGAAGGAATGGTTTTATCTCCCAGAACATCATTAGGCACCTAAGAAAGAAAAAAAAATCAATGGGAATGGCAGCAGGTGAAACTTTTCATAGTAAACAAGCATGGGAACAGTCACTCTAGTGAGATCTACATCACATTAACAGCAGAAGGGCATTCAGTATTACTGATGGACAACCCTGGGTTTATTTCTTCTCTGAATACCGCATTCAGAAGAAAAGAAGTTCTACGGGAAGCTTTATGACAGTCCCACTTGTAGGAGATTCCACAGAGCAGACATTAATTCCATCAGCCATGCAATTAGAAAGCATCAAAACAAGGAAGCTCTTGGATCAATACTAGCTGAGCCAGATTCGGACTTATTAGAAGATCCAAGAAGGTCCCTATTTGTCACCCAGAAAGCTGAAGAAAGAAGCTGTGCACATGAAGACTGCCTAGCAGCAGATGCTTTGTACACACTCTACTGCTTAATCACACCTAGCAGACAGGGAAACAACCAGCAGCATTACTAATAAGAAACTACTGAAATATGGACTACCATTCCTGGAAAGCTCCACTAATTCTTGTAATAGATTCAGTATTCATTTAGTCATTTTCAGAGAGGCATAAAGAACAAGAGCCTTCAGAGGTACTTTTGACCTAGACGAGCCATTTGGAAAACTTCCAGTGAAATGCAACAACTTTTTCCCATCCTTCCAGTCTGAATGTCACTTAGCAGTGCCATTTATTTCTAAATAACTACGGCCATGTAACCTTTATCCTAGCATTCAGCTGCCTGCAGCCCAGGGACCAAAGGGGTGAGGCACCACTGAGTGACCTTGGTTCAGCCTTACTGAGAAAACTGTTGCTGAGCTATGAGATAGTGAACTAAAACCCTGCAAGATAAGAATGACAACACAGGCCAAAGCAACATTGTTGAGATGGTAATCATTTGCAGCTCAAGGACTCACAAAAAAAATACCCACATGAAAAAATACAAAACTCCTGCAAGAAAAAAAAATAAAAACAGGAAAGGGCAACCTGGCACAACCAAGAGGCAGAGGCCAATGCTGCCTTCTCCTGACTGATGACTGCCTTGCCAGCAGAGACTCATCAGGTGTCTCCTCTGCAGCAGAGGACACCAGCACAAGGTACTTCTCCTAACTCCCCCTGGTCTTGATTATCTCTAGAGGTCCCTTCCAACCCCTATAACTCTGTGATTCCCTGCAGAATGCACTGAATGGCTGCTGGATCCTCACGTTGACCAATCTGCCAGTGTTGAAAGAGGCTCAGGAAAAAGCAGACTGGTACAGCTGGGTTAGAAACAGAAGACTTTGGAAGAACAGCCCACACCAAGAGGCCTATTTCTCTATGCAGAGAAGAAGCTACGGAGTTACATCCACAACAGAAAGTAACGGTTCACTCACACAGAAAGAAAAATCCTCAGGGATATTTAGGCATTAATGGCTTATCTTAGAATAATAACATGTGCCTACTGATGCCTTGAAAGAGCCAAAGTCCTCTGAATTTGCACTTGAAGACAAGTGGGAATACCACAGCTTTCAATAAGCACCAGCATCTCTCTATTATTTCGCAGGAAAAAATGAGGAGCTGGGGGTAGAGAAGCAGGACTGGAAGGGAGGAGGACAGAGAGCTGATAACCTTTGAATTCTTTGTAATAACAGAACAGCCAGTGTAAGAGTTGCAGCTGAGTTGGTATTTGACAGCAAAGGCCAGTACAGTTTATTGCTAAACACCACCAAGTTTAACTTCCCTCATTTATAGCCATTTTTTCCACATACTTTTGGCAACATATTTACATTTGTGGTATATTATAGCTTAAAGACAATAAACCTAGAAGATTGAAATCTTCCAACAACTGTTCCAAAAGAAAGCATTTTGGAATAGCATTATATCTGTAGAAAAGACTGTAAACACCTAATATCAAATTAAGGTTACACTTTACATTTTTTTTAATGTTAAAACTTATAACAGGAGGAACATTTTAGTAAGCAACAGGTTAAGAGCCTTACAGAAACAAATTAACGTGGATCCAAGTGGCCTCTGGTATCTAACACTTTTAAGAGGCTCCCAAACATGAGCATAAATTTCCTCAGGATTAGGAAGCCCTGTTCTGTATGCACATCATCACACTGTCTTAAATAACTGCTTTAAAACAATATAATATTAATGGTCTTATTCAGTGATAAGGATGATGACACACTGACTCAAAAAGAAAGCAGGTAGGTCTATTCCAATATTTAACATTCATCCATAATACTGTGGCTAATGTTACACTTTAACAGAAGGAAATAAATGCATGTCCTTAACTCTACTCCAAATATGGTGATTAGAAGTAATATAAGACGGAATTTCTCCCTAAAGCTCCTGTTGGGGAGAAAGACACTCAAAGCTGTGATGCACATATGTACACATACACACACACAGTGCACTTTTTTGTGCATATCTGTGATCTACAAAACTATCAAATGTATGTACTCAGTGCAACATATTGCAAAATGGTACCTAAACTGCAAATACAAAGCAAATGACCAATAGAAGCAAAGAACCACAAACATCTTTCAAGTCAACCGCCAAAACTAATTGAAGGGAAGGTAAGTTATTCCACGGTAGCCACCACTTTATGTGCTCATGGAAGACCTTTCCTCTACCCCTCCCTCATCCCATGTTTTTTCTTCCTTTTGCTGCCTTCTTTCTTCAGGTAAAAAAGAACAACCTAGTTTAGAGACAGCATATAACGTGGCTGGTTTTAATCCATGCACATGCTGATTGGCACGAAAGTTAAACCGAACAGATTACACGAAAGTTAATGCTGCATCCCTTCCCTTAGGGAAAGTGATATTTGAGTTTTTATACAGTGACAAAGAATGTGTTAAAATCTGCCAAGTTTGCAAGGTGCACCTCTGTGAAATCTGATTATCCCTGGCAAAAGATCCAAAAGTCAGCGGGGACCTAAAGGGGAAAGAAAATTGAAAGACAAAAGGAAGCAGCAATGATTGCAAGCAATACGCTTCTTTCCAGCCCTGCCATTTCTCAGAAACTAAAAGAAACGTATTTTGTATCTCAAAGGCACAGCTGCTTACTGCTCAATGACATAGAAGTTGTCTCCATCATCCCCTTGATCAATCACATGTTCATGAGGTTTCACCTTCCTCTCAAACATGGCATCAAGGACTTGAGAAAGCTGCTCCTATAAAACAAATGAGTAAGAAAAACAAAAGGCAAATTCACTTGACTTGATCTGGATAGTGAACTGTAACACGCATTGCACTGCACTATTTTTACTGTACACAAATGAAAGTAATTTCAATAACAATTTTTGATTTTTACCTTTAAGTACCTCACTTTGTTTAAAGCTTATCAGTGTAAGTTCAGTAATGAATACAAAATGATACTTCCACTACAGAAGGGCTATCATCTCAAATGCATGTTCAAATTGCTTAATGCACACTATGGCAGTGCAAAAGCACACATGTATAGCAAGATCTCACCTGGGATAATCATAGAACCATAGAATCGTTTGAGTTGGAAGGTACCCTTAAAGGCCATCTGCTCCAACCCCCCTGCAATGAAAAGGGACACCCACAGCTCCATCAGGTGCTCAGAGCCCTCCAGCCTGACCTTGGCTGCCTCCAGGGATGGGGCACCACCACCTCTCTGGGCAACGAGAGCCTCACTGCCCTTAGCATAAAGAACTTTTTCCTTATAGCCAATCTACATCCCCTCTTTTAGTTTGAAACCATTTCCCCTTGTCATGACACAACAGATCTTGGTAAAGGCTTTGTCTCCTTTCTAACCTCTCACACCTTTGCTGCAATATCTGCTTGCTGATTTCTACCAGCAGTACACATTTCATTATACGTATGCCTAAAGACCACGCAAACTGAGTTTCTCTGCTGAGCCATGACTGAACTTTTGTAGGCAGCACAGCCGAGGAAGTTGTGAAAGTCAAAGCCCACAGACAGACAGCACCAACCATACATGATACTGCTTCTAGCACTCCTGCAAACATAGGCCATCTAGGCTTGGCTCTGGATGGCTTTGGCTCTATATCAAATATATTGCTGTTTTTCATGGAATTTTATTATCACATTTTTAAGAACTCCCCTGATACTTAAACTAAACCAGAATTATTGCCTGAAAGCAGTTTGTTGTAACCATTATATACCTATAAACCTATAAATTATAAACCCTAAAAAAAAAAAAACTTTCCAAAAAAAAAAAAAACACAGAAACTCAGCCGTGTTTTATTTGGAGGATAAACAGGCAAAGACTTGTATCAAGGAAATGAAACAGTGAGCCCTTCTGTTAATAAGGGACTAAGCTGTCAGATTCCTGAACTGTAAGGCTTTGTTGGTTTAAAGACAAGTACTAAGGATGCTCAGGGGCGTTCCTGGTAAGAACAACAATAGTTATTCTCATCAGTAAGAAATTCAGTCACAACTCAAATTCCACAAACTTATATAAGATGCTGTGGAGCAAACACATGCTATTTCATTCAGAGCTTTTAACAGCCTATTTTCTACACCCCCTGCACTTCAGGTTGAAACATAAATCAGGTGTATCATTGGGCATGACCAAAACTTCTATCTATATTATCACAGAGTTAAACCCTGATATTACTCCAAAACTCAACATGAATCTTGCTAGAAATTATCCACTGGACACTGGCTCCTTTGTATTTAATATCAAGTATTACAACAGCTACTCATGCAAGGGGGGGCATTTAACATTAAGGGTAGTTGAGTCTCTGGACCTAAATTTAACACAGTTCACCTAAACGCAACCAGCACAAAAGGGATGAATTTGGCCAAGACATTGAAGTCACATCAACACATTTAATCCAAGAGGGGTTTTACAGGTTTTGTTGGTTTTTTTGTTGTTTTGTTTATTAAGAAGTTTTACATCACACTCCTTGGAAGCTCTGAAGCAAAAGAACAGATTTGGGGCCCCAGTTTGGAAGCATTCCTCACAATTATTAAAGGATGTCACACAGTGAGCAAAAGCAGCCACCACGCATTTCACTATTCAGTAGATTCTGTGTGGCCAACCTTGCGAAGGAATCATTGTCTTACAGCTACATGGAGGATGTTTAAAAGAAATTATCAGGATGAGGGGCAAGTCTCCTACCCCATTTGTACTCAATACTAGAAAAACTCTTCCCTCTCTGCTAAGTGCCCTTTGTCATACTGTAATTAATGTATGCAATGCAGTCATCTTTTTCACCACATGCTATCTCAAAGCTTGAGCCTTTAACAGCTGCAGTTAAGATTATTTCCATTGCTTCTCTTCACAGTTGCTTAGAAAGCCTTTCTCAGAAAGCAGTATTTTTCTAATCCCATTTTCTAGGCTCAAACTTGTTTTTTTGAAGTTATCTTTGAATGTGAACTGGCTATTAATTACTGCTTCTGGGTCATTCTACTCCCAGCAGTCTGAATGGTGGTCACATTTTGTACATACTCCTTGAGCTGAATGTTTTCAAATGTTTCATTTTTTACAGCAACCAAGAATTGGGAGAAATTCCTAATTTTCAAGGAAAGCTGAGCAGTAGTTCTGCAGCCATGAAGTACACACTCCCATACCTCAGGAAAGGCTCTGATTCTAACCATGAAGCTGCAGGTACCATTGCTGGTGTTACAGCTTTCATTATTTCTCTTAAATTTTATGATGCCAGAATAGAGATTCGACCTGTAGAGGAGACATCAGCTCCATAAGGATGGAAACAAAGCCAGATATAAGAAGCACTTATTTTATGGTCTTCTGGAGGCTGGATGTAACGAACCCCAAAGGTCCTTTCCTGAACTGTCCAACAATCCTATCGTATCCTATATCCTAACACATCCTGAACTATCCTATGAAAGCCAATTAAGATTTCTCAGTGCCAGCAAGAGATATTCATCACTAAAACTTAACACTGAAGCAAAGAGCAAGGAACTTCAGCAATAAGTCTGTAAGATGAGCAGGAACAAAGACAATCCGAAAACATTACTTTTAGATTCACTTACAGAAATGTTACTGACACATTGCAAATAATAAAAGAGTGCAGCAATCTGAAATTGAGCAAATGTAGACAGTGATGGCAACTGGCAGCCTGACCTGCTTATTTGTATTCCTCATTCACAAAGCAAAAACAGTGCCTAGACTGTTAGATCAAACTAATCAAAACAGCAATTCATGTTCAGATTTCCTTAAACTAATATTACCTGATCTAGATTTTTGAAGAGCAGGATATCTTTGCATGCCTCCTGCAGTCTGCATCGCTGTTCATCTGTTTTTGGATGAACTATCTTTAAAACAAAGTAAAAATAAATAAATGAACTGTCACAACAGCAAAGAAATATAATTACAAATTAAATCCTTCACTTCAGAACGAAAACACAAAGACAATTTCAGGTATCATTGTATACAGTTCCTTTTTGTTGTCTGCACAAGCAGTATTTACATACAAATATATAATGCAAGGCAAGGTGAAAGAAAATGAAAGTAAAACTCTTAAGAGATATATTATGCTGACAATTAGCACGTGCAAAATAAGAAAGACAAGAAAAAGATGCCTTTCCTTTTCCTTCCCTTCTAACCCAGCCACAGATACAGTCACAGCTTGGGAACCTAAATGAAAAAGTCAGGTTTTCTTTCTAAACTCTGCCTATATTAGTTCCAATACCCTCACTGTCGGCAATTCAGAGAACTTATTGAAAGTATGAGACAAGTCTCTCTGGCCCCCTAATAACAGAATATATCTAAGAAACATTTTTCTCCACCAAAAAAACATATCTCACGAAAGAGATTTATTGACACTTCTTCTCAGTTACAATTCCTTCATCAGGTTTATGTGCTTTTGGTGGAATTATGACAAAGGGTTCTGAAAAACAGCAATGATGGCAGGCTTTTCTAAAAGCCCCTTGTCCAAATTGGAGTTGTACCTTTTTTTTTTAAAAAAAAAAAAAAAGAAAACTTGTTTGTACAGGATGGAATAAATGTAGCCTCGTTTAAAAAAAAATAACTGGATGGCCACATACACCCTGTTGTTGTTATTTTTTCTTCTTGTAGAATCTCATGAATCAATTATATTTCTTTGTAGAAGAAATTAGATTAGACCTAGATTTTCATAGCAGAATTGTAAGCATCTCTGAGTTGGAATCTGGAAATGCACCAGCAGTCCCTAGAGAAAAACCCTGACCCTCACCAGCCAGGCTACAGGATTTCCTCACAGAAAACATCTCTGAAGCAATACAATAACAGTATCTGGGCCTGAAATTCCTAGAAATTCCCAACTTCCAAATCTTACAGAACAACAGGTGGCCAGCATCTCAAAACATTTCAACAAAGTATTTCTTCTACCCAGGGTGAACTGCTCTGACAAGAAAGGCGGTGCAAAGCATGTGTGGAATTTTAAGCAGCCACAAAAGAACAGCTGTCCTTGGGCTTAACTAATTCCCCACAACAGCACTAGTGCTTTAGGAATTGCCTCAACAAATATTCAGAATAACAAAGAAAGGAAAAGGCCACAACTTTCAGAGATGGTAGACATAAGCAGAGCTCTCATGTTCTCTGAAATAAAACCATATTAAAGCAACGATGACTAAGTAACTGCATGGGACAAAGTGGCACTGAGTTTCAGAGCAACACCGCTTCCTCAGAGACAGCAGAGCTCACAGCCTCTCTGAAAGAAATGCACAAGTGGTGAGGAGAAATGTGACTCACAGACATCTGCCTGTCAAACCACAGAGAGGGCCATGCATGATGCAATTCATTCATTCTTACCCTCTGCTCCGTGTCTTCTTCCTCTTCATCCGGATTGAAAGCTTCAGCACAGACTGGAAAAAGGTGCAAAGCAGCGAAAGAATATCAGAGAAATCAAGTTGAAATTAATTTCCCCCAGATTTATTACCTGCATTTTCCCCACAGGAAAAAGATCCACTTTTTTCTTATGCTGTAGTAGTGTCAGAGACTTAAATCCTATCTGTTCTCAGAGCAGGCACACCATGGCCGTTCTCAAATTCTCACATTAGAGGTCAGTAACTTGCCCTAGAAGACAACACTGCCTGCTGAGTACTGCAATACATGCACACAAGTTTCCTTTCCACCCTTACTGAAGCATAAAAAAAATAATCACTATTCAGATTAATTTATAGACATACTCATCAAAAAAGCAGGGTAAAAAGCACTGCAGCTACATTGCCCCATGCTCTGCAGAACAAAGCAGGTACCAAAACAGACAAAAAGAAGTGCAAGGAGGCATGTAGCACTCTACCTCAAGTCAATTTGCAATTATCTGCTCTTTTTTAATGCAGAAAAATCATATTTACACAAATTAATCTGGTAAATGACTGCAGCTTGACTACAGTATATTCTGTGACTATGAAAAATAGAGGTTAGTTCACTCCTCCCATATGATCCTGTATCTCACTACGTTTGAATCAACAGAATATCAAATTGATAGGAAAAGGACAATGAAAAACACAGTGATTTTTTTTTAAAGGCTGAGAAATTTGTGTAAATCCCAGTGCTTAGGAACAAGGCTCTTGCAAACCAGCCACTGTAAGTGCAGTAGGAACCACCCACTGTGTAACACCAGCCACTGTGGGAGATGCAGTGATAATGACAAGCTTCTAAAATGTCTAATTAATTTTGTCCATTTCTGGTACTTCAGAAAAGGCTCATCTTCACAGTTGTTACACAGTTCTGCAATATCAAACACATTCTCCTTTGGCCAACAAAAGCTGAGTCCAGATTTTGTCCTTAACTCATGGGCATTTGCTGTTCTTAGGCGTCAAGGTGAACCCTCCACTCTTACTACCTGCAGAGATAAAGTGAGAGTCTTCTTTCTCATCCGTCCTGCTCTTGCTCTAATAAGGACAGCCTCACTTCTGAGGCCACACAGTGCTCGTACAATTTTACAAGGAAACACCGACAGCATTTTTCTTTTTGCTGTACCCAGCATCCCGACAAGACCGAACTCCTGGCAGAATGCCCCGGAGCTCACTGCAGTGACAGGAAACAGCTGAATGGACTTAGAAAGCACAAAGATAAGTCGACTGGAAAAGAAAAAAAGAAGGCTTCAAATTCAGCAACTTGCAAATAATTTGAAAACCTATACGAAACTACTGACGTCATCATCATGCTTTAAAAGAAGGCTGCAAGGTTAGCATAATTTGCTAGAAAAGACCTGTACCTTTTAGGCAGCAAAATTAAAAAAAAAAAAAAGCAAGTCTTTTCTAGCAAATTACATTTTGATTCCTGTCTTTTTCCTGGATACAAACAGACTGGAATACAATACAAGCACTGCATTTATTGCACCACAATGTAAAACCCCAATTATGTAATCATTAGCTATGTTAAGAGCACTTATGTTCATACAATAAACCCATTTTCTGTGCTCAAACAGCCCCGTTTCTCTGTCCTTCTGATTGTAAAGAACTCCTGTAACTATCCCATGGAAGTTAATTTCAGGGCTCCCAAAAGTGAGCAGTTTGCAAATGGCAGCAGACAGCCTAGGTGGAAAGCTATTTGATCTTCTACCTCGGCTGAGCAAAAATATACTTGCTCTATCATTATCTGCATGTGTCTGAATTAACACTTTAACTACTGCAGTATCCCAGTGAAACAGGTGCTCACAGACAAGCTCGAAGCATTAGAAGCAGTAGTATCTTCTCAGACTCACTAAGGCACCAACTGGAAGGACCTCTTTCTGAAGGTCACCCAGCCCAAACCAGCCCTACAGGGGAGCTACCTTCAATGCCAGACCAGGGCTGACCTGGGAACCTCCCGGCTACAAATCCCACAGCTCACTGGCTTCCCAGTTGCAGCACAGCAATGCTCTCCTAGGCAAAAAGCTTTTCTTAATGTGCAACCTAATTCTCACAAATCTCTTGAAATAAGTGATGTCTGAACTCGCACCTTTCCTATGTAAGACTTTTCAGCACAGCTCTGCCCTTGAGCAAATGCTAAGTATGAATGTGATTCCAACAGCACAACTGCATCAGCACATATGCACTTCATGCAGATAAGTATCTTCCCAAAACTACCCACAGAATTCTAACAGCTTTGAAACAGAATAAAAGTTTTCAATTTTCAGAAGCATTAAAGATATATATATATATATCTTTTTTTTTTATCAAGCTTTTATCCTAACATTTACATTTTTTTCTCTCTTTGCTTGTGCAGCTTCTACAGCTAGTTTAGCTTTCTCCTCATACAGCACCTTCTTTGGCTTTCAAGAAGGCACATCTGTTAACACTGCTGAAGGCTCAGATCTATATTCTGTTATGCAGGTGACAGCATCTGAAAGCAAGAACGATCTTTCTGGCTGCAGCAGCGATGTTAGCTGTGAATGGCAGAGGTGGGGGGAAACAAGAGGCAGAGAATTAAAAGTTGCAAGAGAAGGTTGCCAGTAGAAACACTTTGCTCATGCAAGCATGAATCAATCCCAAGATACCATTCTGCGAAGGATGTTTTGTCAAGATCAAAGTCCTTACACTCCATGCAAATTTCAGAATACTTCAGCTCTCATAAGCAAAGTGTTTGTGTGAAATGCATGCCGCCCTCACAGCTGGGGCATTGCTGTTACTCCTTTGTACTTATTAAATCATAGAATGGCTTGGGTTGGAAGGGACTCCAAGGATCATCAAGTTCCAACCCCCCCCGGCCACAGGCAGGGCCACCAACCTTAGGATGCATTACTTCCAGTCAGTCTGACAAGATCCATCACTAAAAACCCACCCAGAGCAGCACACACAGAGCAACTTTTCCAGCTACTCACTGAGATCAGTAATCTCACACGATGTTTCAGGCTGTGTTCTTTGCTTCAGAGCCTGGCAAAGCTCCAACCATTTCTGTCCCCCAGGGGCTGATGTACAACCCCTCCTGTGAGGACACACAGCTGGAGAGATGACCACTTCCAGGGCTTCTCACTGCTCCTTCACAGCTGAGCTGCTAAAGCAGGCACTTCCAAAATGACATAGCAGAGATGAACTACAGAAGCTTACACAGCACCTGCACAAGGGTCTTCAACAGCACTCAGTACGATTTGCTGTACTTAGGGAAACAAATTAAAAGTTCCCCCTCGCTTTTGTTTCTGTATAGATCAGAATTTTTTGGCTCAGGAATCACACTTTACTTCCCGAGTTACAGATCTCACCATGTCACAGACAACTACAGATCCATCCCGAATGCTCCAGGAGCCAAAGCCAAGACACAACTTGGAGTGCCTGGGATGCGAAGAGCCAACTCCCCCTCAGATGTGTCAGATCCCGACACAAACTATCCAAACACAGCACTATCTGCATGACCATGTATGTCAAATGAATTGCACAACATTTTTATTTGAGGGATATTTAGAAATAATTTAGATAGCAAAGGAAAAAAAAATCATTTTTCAGTTCTGGAGAGAACTTACTGTACAATTATAAAAGTAAAATAAAATCTACTCAGTTCTTCGCAGGCAGAATTCTATTTCTTTCAAGACACAAAATACAGTTAATCTAAGGGAAAAGAAGGTAAAAATGTTTATCTGGCTCCACCAAAACATTGCTTAATTCCGTAATCCAACTTGAAAATACCCATTCCCACTACGGACATTTAATGTGTGGGTTTTGTTTATTTCTTTTTTCCTTCATAGGAAATCCAAGATGCTAAGTGCAGGCAGTGTAATAAGCTCTTTAAAATGAAAACATCTATTTCATATACACATTTGTTCTACATATTCTGAATGAGATTTTCAAATATTTCTCCTAAATTCATCTGGATCAATAAACATCTGTTTTTAACTTCTTATCTACAAGGCTTTACCATCAGATCAGACACTGATCTGCTTTGGACCTGACAGCTAACAAGTGAGTCCGCATGAAAAACAGCAAAAAGCCTTCTATCACTGCAACGACGGAAAAAGAAGAAAGTTTTTCACGTGGCAGCATCAAAGGAGCTCACAGCTCTGACACAGGAACAACCCAACCCAAAACATTACCCCTTAGATCCTAAACAGCGAAACTGTTCCTTCTGTTTCCTTTAATACATTTGAACAAAATCCCAGAAGGGCAGCAGAGCATTTCAGACTTCAGCACTGTGTGTGGTGCAGTGCAAGAATCTCAAAAGCAGCACACTTCATTCTTGCAAGTTAAGAAATCAGAAGGCTGAAATGGATAAACACTCTGCTGACCTCGTTCAGGCCTTCTAAGAGCCTTACCGATGAGATAGTCACCCATAAAAAAGGCCTCCTGGAAAACATGATGCTACTACTATTTCAGAGCACCCAGCTTCACAATTGTGCAAGTAAGCCTTCTGCTCTCATGATCTTCCCTGTTTTAGCCAGTTACACATATTTTACCTCATTTCTGAGTGCTTTACTTGATGCAGGGAAAACAAGAAGCTAAACACCAGAAATGCCTATGGGCCCAATAGACACTACAATACTTCATATTTCAGTTAAAAACTGAACATGGAGATTGTTCATTTTACATTTAGGTTACATTAAAACACTACAAGTTCTAAGAAACAGCTCAAGTACATCCCTCAAAAACAATTAAATGTGCATCATACAGGCCTTCAGTTGCAAGGAGTAGATAGGAGAGAATTTAGCCGAGGAATAGAACAGAAGTGCTTTTCCATTCTAGAAATAAGAGCTTCCCTTTCAACTTCCAGACCAAGGCCCTTTTCTGGTTTTATACTTGCAGTCCTGATACACGAACTGCTAAGTCTGCAATGAGGCACTTAATATTTTAAAAGAAACAGCAGGATCTTAGGTAAAGTGCACTGAAGTGCTGCATGTTAGAGGAGAGCAGATATTCAGCAGTGAAAATTACTCCCATCTTTCAGCACC